TTAAAGTTAACAATATAGCTAATATTAACAAATTGGTAGTGCACATATAAAATATATTCAGTGATATTTAATATGAATAAAAGCATAATTTTATATTTAGATTGTGGGTGGGTTATGTCCGTTCTTAATTAACAAAAGAAGATGATAATGTTTAGAGATGATGGTGCATCCCTTTCAATTAATTCCGCCCAATGGTTGTAACGTTCCTTGGTATTATAATGACAATTATGCTAACGAAAAATATTTTTTAAAGAAAAAGGTGCGTGAAGTGATTATGTGTGGAATTCCTAAAAAGAAATTTCATTAAATATATGAGAATGAATTTCTTCAATTCATACTTACGAGGTCTTTTATGGTAAAGAACTGTTTATTATATAAGACTTTGGTTGAAATATTCATTTTAATATGCAGTAAGTCATGTGATTATTAGACTAACTGTTAGCAGCTTATGTTTAATTGTAACATAGGCTTCGAATTTTCATTTGCTTGATTGGTTCTTAAGTTAATACATAAATGTTGCGCGCAACATACATATGCATGTATGTATGTATATTTCAAGGGAAAAGGTTGTCATATAAAAGCTCTTAAACCCATAAGATAAGATTGAATATGAATGGTTCATTTGTTGCTTATATTAATGTTGGTATCACTGTTTATTATTAGAATAAGTAATGATAGTTATTATTATAGATATTTCAGCTTGAGAAATATCAATGATTTGATACTTTCGTACAGTAAAATTTGTTTTGTTAATGACAATGATAGGCACATTCGAGTGAGAAAAAAATCACCTGAGTGTCATAATATTTTGAGATTAGTTCCCTTGTTCAAGGAATTATTGTATGTGTTGACTTATAAAATATTTTGAATGGGTAAAATTTGAGTTAAAGGAAATAAATGTGGCGCTATGCAATATGCATACATACGTTTTATGTGAATTTAAAATTATGAAAAATTTTAATTTAATTAGAATTTTTGTTGTTAAGGCATGAAAATATTTTTTTGAAATATTTGAAAGTGTGGGGTACCTAATGCATGGAGCATATGAAAAAAATTTGATTTACTTAAAAAATGTGTTGCACCAAAATATTAACCTTATTTTATAAATGTCAAGATATTGTTTTTTGTTGTGATTTAGAGAGGAAAACTAATTAAGAGGAGGCTATTATTTGCATGTTGGCAAAATTTGTTAATTATGAAATTTTTGTGGCTTAGCTTGAAACAAGCATTGTGATTGTGGTACAAAATTTGATCATTTATCTAGTGAAGGTAAATGTATTTTTAAACATAGATGCATGACCTATTTAATTGTTTGGCATAAATATTTATTATTATGAATAATGATTTGTTTATATGTTATTGTTCCATGATTTTTTCAAAATTATGGAATTATGAATAGTGGATTCTCACCATAAAAATACATGGATGTTTACTGAGTTATAAAGTTATTTGAAAAAACCCATTAGTGATTATCCATTCTCAATAGTGATAAACTCAAAATGTAATGATAGAATCATAGTGGAGTTCAATTTCATTAATCTAAAATTAGATTGGAGCTAAGTTGTTGGACATCATCTTAGCGATTATTTTGGTGTAAAAATGATACTTGGTGTCAATGAGCATTGACATGATGCTAACATTTTATTAAAAAATGAGATGATTATATTACTCAATCTATATGTGCATTTACAAACTTTAGAAAGTTTATTGCATTAATTAATTTTAATCAGATGATATAATTATGTTGTATGGAGAAAATCAAGTAGTCTCACAAGAGAATGAAACAAATGAGCGTTGGAAAGATACCATAAATGTTGGTATCACATATAATGAGTTTCTATTGTATTAAAATAATACAATGATGTAAATTGAATTTTATATTCAAATGAAATAAAAAAATTCATTGGTAGCTAAATAAAATATTATGGGAGTCATAGCATATTACTTGAAGTTGGCTAATAATGAGGCTAAGTAGTTGAGAAACTTCTTAGTGAACAATATTGCATTGAGAGTGAAACCGACACATATTATGTCGATAATTTGTGTAATTGTCAAATGGTGATAGTCATTACAAAGAGAACAATGTCGTTGTTGGATATTATAAAATTTTCATGGGTATTTTAAAAAGAATTATTGTAATTTAATAATATTGATTACTATAACCCCCTACTTAAATCTATTTATTTAGCCTCATTATTTTTGTAACAAATTTTGTAATTGTGATTAAGGTGATTTTATTATCCAGCATTATGTGATCTACTTATAAAAGATAGTGCTTGTCACAAGTTCTGAGAGAGCCTTTATGCTTCCGGCCTTTCTCTCTTCTTCTATCACACTAGTTCAATGTGTAGTTAATTGAGTGTGTTCTATAAATTCTTGTTGTTCTGTGTCCCTATTTTTGATAAAAAGTGTCTTATTAATCCTGAGGAGTTGCTGTGCGATCAATCTGATATGATGAAATAGCTCTTAAAAATAGTGTCTTTAGGCAAAACTCAAATTATGATTTTGCTTGTAAACAAGAGGAACCGTAGAATCATATTTTCATTTTGTAGAGATCTACATAGCTATAATTTTTTCAAGTAATCTCAAAGGCTTTACAACAAGATATACACTAATCAGATTCACAGCATTTCCACAAATGATATTTATTTTTCTGTCATGAAATCAGGAAAAAGGGGGGTTGGGGGGGGGCACAACTAGCAATTTATAATACATATACTGTGAATTAGAATTTAAAGAATCAATGTGGGCCAAGCTTTCCTTATATGAACTTGTATGAACTCAACCCATTTCATGAGAGAATCAAATTCTTTCCTATATATAATACCAGTCGAACACCAAGCAAGAACAGAAAAAAATTTCTTACAGCCACAAACAACTGCTCAGCAGCACTACCGTTATTCAACCATAGCCAGAGAAATTGCAAAGGCGAACAATGATAATGCAAGAATGAGAGCAGCAACAGTAGAGGGGAAAAACAGAACAGAGTGGCGACGAAACCTGAAGAAAAACGGCGACGGCAATGCCTATCGGCGATGAAGAATGGAACCAGGATTTTATCTATCAAGGATAAATGGTATAAGGCTCTCTTGAAAGCTAAGAGGGTAGTGAAGTGTGCTCTGAATTCAGAAATTGAGAAAATATCTTGAAAACGAGTGAGGTGTAGGTGGGCTTGCGTATTGCTTGGTCGATGACGTCTTGTTTGAAGAGGAAGAAGGGATAAATACTAAATAGTAACGGTATTCTTATTTTTATTAATTATGATTATTATTATAAAAAATTAAAAATAAATCTAATTCCCTGACCCTTTTTTTCATTTATAGGAAAAACTTTTCATTTTTTTTTAAGAATATTTGTTTCTATTAATCAGATGAATTAAAATTGAGAAGCATTTAATTTTTTTTCCAAAATGGTTTTTTTTTTTTCCAAAGTGGGAGTTTGAGACATGAATTTGTTAAGTTGGTTTAATTAGCAGGTGAGAGTTAGATAATTTTGTCATGTAAAAAGAAATGGAGGGAATAAATAATAAAACCACTTAGTATTTTTATTTTATATTTTAAATACAGTGATTTGTAGAGTTTTATATTAATGTTAATAATTAAAAAATTATGTGATTTTATATATTTAAAATGTTTATTTTCAATTTAAATTATTTATATATTATTTATTCTACAACAAACTATTGTTATTAATATTATTAATACATTAAAATTTACTTTTTTAATTTAATTGGATATAATTATATTAAGTATATAAAACTAAAGTACCCAAGTCTTATTCTCTTTTTTTATACAATATTCTTCTTCAATATTTAAAAATAATGTAATGTTATCCTCGTAGTTAACAAAGTTAATTTTTACAAACAATTAATCTAAAGAATTAGAGGAAATGCCCCCAAAAATTACAAATAAGCACCGTGCAAAAAAATTAGTGTTGATTAAGTTTATTGAATTGCAAGACTAATGTTATTCTTTACCTGTATAAAAAACTAAAATACAATTTTATCTAGCCACTTTTGACCAACCGGCTGGTGGTTATTGAATCACTATCATAGTCAACAACAACACTAAGTAACTAAAAGAAAGTTATACCTGTTTTACTAATATCTTATTTAAATACAAGTAAATGACAAATTACTTTTAAATTTTAGATCTAATAGCATTGTAAACCTTAAACTCATTTATTATATAAATTACTCTCTCAACTTTTAAAAATAGTGCAATATAAACCCTATTATTAATAAAAGTTAATTTTAACTGTTAATTAAACAAAAAATGACAGGAAAGAATTTTAAAATTTACATAAAATGACCAAAAATAAAATTTATCCTTCTCTATACTATTGTGGGTCATTGTCTCTAATTTTTGAATCTCTTATTGTGATTTTTAGTTTTTTTATAATTTTTGAGATTATTTTTTATCATTTTTTGATTTACTAATGATCTATTAAAATTAACTTTTGTTAATAGTAAAAGCTAGATTACACTGTTTTTCAAAGTTGAAAGAAAAATTTGCACAATAGATAAACTTAAAATTTATGATGCTACTTAACCTAAAATTCAGGAGATAATTTACTCATTTACCTTTAAAATATTAATATTTTCTATCCAATAATTTAAATATAATTATTTATAAATCTTCAAACAATTTATAAGTCAACTTTTAAGATATATAAATTTTTTAAAAATTAAAACCCAACTAATGTATATATATAATTTGTAAGTGAATGCATTTTTTATGTCAGGGTAAATTTTCTGAAAGAGAACTTGCAAATTTTAGATGAAAACTTATAATTTTTTTAGCCAACGATAAAAATTTATAATTGATCACACTACTTTAATTTAGAACTTAGCTAGTGTGAAAAATATATTCATATATAAATCTTGAATACACTAATTTAGTTGTTAATTTTTAGAAGGTAGTTTATAATTTTTTTAGGACGATCTATGATAAATAATAATATTTAAACCATTAAATATTAAAATTATTTAAAACAATATATTATTTTAATAAGATATATTTAAAACAATATATTATTTTAAATGACATACCAATGTTTGCCAATAATGATGATCCAATCAAAGTTGCTGGTCAAAATGATGTTTTGACCAGTTAAAAAATGACAACATCAAAAAAATAAATAAATAAACCCCGGGGGGTAATGCTACTTCAGTATTCACTGTTCACCAGGCATTGTCTTGACAATATCAGAATCACCTGAAAACATCAAATTATGAAACAATTAGGAAAAGACAAACCAAAACTTGCCTCACTAATCTGAGGATGTTTACTTGAAGAATGTAATAGATACCAGGATCGATAATGCTAAGACAGCAAACCCGGAAATATTTGGCGCATGCTGTGCCCAAATCAACGTTGTCTGGTGAACAAGAAATCATTTGTTAAAGAGGTTTAACACAAGAAATACTCAAGAATCACACGAGAGTGAAAGAACATCATGTATATGACCATCGACAAAATCTTATGTGAGATTTCTCATTTGATATGACACATGCAAGAAAAGCTCGTTGAGTGGAAAAGAAATAAGAAACAAGAAAAGCATCTATCATTCTATCGGTAACACTTTTTTTTTTTGGGTCTATCTACCGCATTGCGAAAAGGGTTAATTGATCAATAACAGAGAAATAGAAGAAAAATTTGACGGGTAGACCTTAGGTGCAGTTCTTAGATATTTGCCAACAGGGTTTCCAATAGAATAATGACATGTGGAGGGGCTTTCATCTTTTCAGGCGACAATAATATGGCGTGAAGAAGCATACACTTTTTATGTTCTATCAAAAAACAATAGCAAACACAAACTGACCAAAATTGTTCCTAAATTCATCTGCTTAATCTAGACAGATGTTTGCACTACCTTATTAAGCAACATGTGCTTCCAACAGCAAGTCTGCAAAAACTACTCCAAAATTGAAGTCAAAGAAAGGACCTTGACATGGTCCTGTATCTTAACTCTAAAGAACTATATTCTATGCCGGTTCAAGGATTACTAACCAAAAGCATCCAATACATATATATATACAAGGAAAAGAGAAAAAATCAAATAACCATGAAACATTTTCCCAATTGTGGGACGCTAATGACACATTAACAGAAAAGAAACAAGTTCTTTGATGAAGAACTCACTTCCATTGTAGTGATGCACGCCCACTTTGGCAAGCATTGCACAATACTCTATCTCTGATTTCCTTAAACGTGGGCAATTGTTGGCAATGATAACCAGTTTCCCTGCAAAGAAGAGAACAATATTTACCATAATTTCTAATTTCTAATTTCTAATTATAAATTCTATACCAATAGCAAATTCCATACTACCATACACAATATCACAACATCAAAGAGAACAGTTGTGCTTAAGAGGTATAACCACTTCAATCTTATTTAAATTATCTTTTCAAAATTATCAAATAAATTGATTCAATTCAAATGAACAAGAAAACAAATGTCTTCTGTGGCACTTTAACAGTCTGCACCATGAGCTGTGACATTAGAATTTTTTTCTTTTTCGAACATAAAAAGTGACTTTCATTCATCAGATGAATTTCATGAGGTTTTGGGAGTTACCTATCAACCATTTATTAAAATAAGGTGGGGATGATCAAAAGCACAAAAATCATAAGTACTTTTACGAGTAAACCTAACTAAAGAGTCAGCATAATGGCTGGCTTCTCTATACATAAAATTCATAAACAACTGCCAATTCCTAGCTAATAGGGACTAAGCAGAAACATTAGAAATTTGACTAAAACAACATGCAATTCCCTTTAACCCGTTCAAGCAAAATTAAGATCTCCAAATCCCCCACAAGGATAACAGAACTCTAGCTTATATACAGAACAATATTATAAAAACCAATGCTACATTTTTTCCCCAAAATTACATCGAATAATATTAAAGATCTTTCACAACCAAAACCTATGATTTTAAACACACTCATGAAGCGGAAGAAAAGGTAATCAGAGACATAACCAAGACACATTGTAATAAAACAATACCTTTAGAGTTCCTAAGGGTTTTCAGAACCGTTTTATAACCCAAAGTGTATTTCCCACTCCTCATCACCACAGCAAGTCTGTTGTTGATGCTCTCATGGATCGTCTTCTGTCAAAGTTAAATCGCAGAAACCATTCACCTCCACCCCCAGTAAAATACATGAAAACGAAATAGAGAGAACAAAATTTCTGAAGCAGAAACGAAATTGTAAAGCTAATGTAAGAATATATCAATAACACTTGAGGTTTTTGCACGATAGAGAGAGGGTTTACGGTTTTCTTGACGGCAACCATGGTGGGTTTCACTAATGACAAATTGCAGAGGTCAGATTCAACTTGATGGTGATGAAATTTATTCTGCAGAACCCAAAACGAACAAGTCGGAGGTTGACCTGATTTATATAAAAAGACCCTGCTGTGAGGAGCCTAGGGCTTGCTACCACTATGATTAACAGATATCTTCTGTTTTTTTGGCCAAGATGATTAACAGATTTAGAATTACGCGGTAAATAATAATAGTGGCAGTACTTTTTTTTTTTTTACACAGATAATAGCAGTAGCAATAATTACATCTACTTTTATACTATATAGGAGTCCACTTTTCTTAATGGCTTTTTTTTTTTTTGCCAGAAAAAGCACATTTTATTAATCACAAAAAAATAACACACACTAATACCGAAGAAAAAAAAAACACTCCAAAAAAACCTACATTCAACCTACCAAAAACTCACCTAAAAAGAAAAAACCAAACAAAACAGGAAAAAAATAAACCAAAAACAATTAACCAATTCCAACTCTGTTCCAATCATCACAAGAAAAATTAAAAGCAGAAATTCTAACAGCCCTTAAATCAGCAATCAAAAGACCAGATAAAGAAGATGTAGCTTCTAAAAGCCATCCAACAGGACACATCCTTCTAGAACCCATCACTGCCAACAAGTTAGTAGTTTCATTGTCTTGGCGAGCCATCAAAGAAAAAGAAATACCCTTGCATGATTCCCAAGCAACTTGAATATTCTGTAACAAATCAATACAAAGCCAATCATAATCACCTGAAATCTTACCCATAAGAAAATCTCGAGTTAAGTTCAATCTATTCTGTAGTGAAATCTTTTTTTTTTTTTAATACATGTTCATGCTGCTCTATATTACTAAAACTAGAATTCTTTGCAGCAGCATTCTTCCAAAAGATAATTGAAGCTTTTCATGGTTCAAGGGAAAATAACTTCTTCCACTAGAAAAATTAAAAAATTCACAATAACATTCTATCCGTCCAGAACTAGATGGTGACACCAATCAATTAGCAATTTTTTTCTAATTTAGTAACTCTTTCTAATCAAAACATACAAAGCTGTTGCAAGGGAAAGCAAGAGTACCAATGCACAAAATTAAATCACAAAACATCTGGTTTAAGCAGGAAAAAAGCAGATAGATGAACATCAGCATATGAGAAATTTCCTTGCTACTGTGAGGCCGAGGTTGATGTTCCTGCTTCTGCCAGTGCAGCTGGTGCAGATGCTGAGGGAGCAGATGATCCTGGCTGCATAGATTGCTGATACGGCTGATTTACCGCTGGTGGTGGCTGAGATGTAGCCATCCCAGGGTTGTAAGGTGGTGGGTACTGTTGATAAGCAGGTACAGGTGGCATATAACTGTACGGTGGAGGCTGATAATACTGATGATGGTGATATTGCCCAGGTGGTGGAGGCATCATTGGATGGGCAAAATGCTGCATTTGCTGCTTCTCCATGTTGGGTTTGTTGTTCTCTCCTGTCCCAGAGGCCCCAACAGGAGGACCAGCATCTTGGGATGGAATAACAGCACCCATTCTTTGAGGATCCATTGATGGATAGTAGCTTCTATCTTGCTGAGGAGGAGGTGGAATGTTATAGTAATGCACCCCCAGGGTTTGATCCTGGTTCTGCTGCTGTGATATGACAGCTCGAGGCAACAACCTGCTATGAGCCACAGATGCCTGCTGCCTCGCTTGATCGGAACTTTCGGAGTCTGGTTTCGATGTCTGAGGTCTGCCCCACATTAGCTTCAACCTTAGGCCTTTGATAACTAGCTTGTTGGAGAGCTCTTCAGCTGCTTTTTCTGCACCTTCTCTGGTTGAGTAGGTTACAAAAGCACAAGCCCGTTGGAGCACCATCTTGATGGATTCTATTTCACCATGGGCGTAAAAGTGATCACGCAGATCCTGCTCACTAACCCTAGCATCAAGCCCACCAACATAGAGAGTTTTAATGGTCTCATCCTCTGGAGGCTCCAGAGAGGTCATCTCTCCAGCCTTGCCAAGTAACTTCAACGCCACAGGATCGTTCACCCTACAAGTTTAAAAAAATCAAAATAAAAAATTCTAAGTGACAAATGATGTCACCAATTTATGAAAGTTAACATAACAAAAAAATTCAGTTAAAAGAAAATTGACCAGAAAATAAGAAATCAAAAGGAAGGAAATGTGAGATTAAGGATAATTACTGTATCCAGTATCCATAAAGAAACACCAGATATCATAAATTATCAAAGCAATAAACTAATCTGATTTGTTGATTAGTTTACTTGTTTTACCCGCCTTGTCTGAAAAAAGGGGGAAAAAAAACATTTTTACTTGTTTTACCCGCCTTGTCTTGGGGAAAAAAAAAAAGCATTCTCTATAGATTGTCACTCTCACTGCAGACAAAAATGTAAGAGCAAAGAACCATGCAGCAAGCTAAATTAAGTGAATTATACCTGGTAAGTAACCCAGAACAAATAAAAAACATGAACACTAGCTAACACAATTGTCTAAGACATGACAATGATTAAAGTAGGAAGCCATTTGAAACTACACATACCCATAATAACGATCTTTGATATTTTGTTGTGACAACTCCCCAGTCACTGGCATCTCATGCCTATAAGGGCATTCAGCTCCTCTGGTACACTCACCCCTTATGTAGAAACTGCAAATATGAGCACGGTTTCTTTTGTAGTATGGTGTTGTCCTTTGAAGTTTCAAAATAGTATCATTTGGGCGTACTTTTCCATATGAGGATTCGTAATCCAAGCCAGCTCGAGTCTAAACAATAATTCAATCATTAGTCATAATTGATTTGATGGTTGAGAAATTCTCAAAGTAAGGAATAAATGAGAGCTTCATGAGACTTCCAATTATTTATGGGCTTCTTTCAAGACAACAGAAAAAACAAGAAAAGCAATTATATGTAACAAAATTATCCTAAAATTGCTACAAAAACCATAATTCACAACGTGTAAAATTCGCTCTCTTATACTGATAGACTGATAACTACATAAATTTTTTGAAGCAGAAATTAGTACACGTTAAATGGAGGCATCAAAGAGAATATAATTGAGCATAAATGGTAGATTGGTCAATAAAATAATAGAAAGTGGCCTGGGAGTTTTGATTGTTAGGTTGATTAACACACTCAAATTACGACTACGCTCAAGCTAAGTTATCAGATTTAGAAGAGTTATTAAATTGAGGAGAGGTAGCAGAAGCCAAGAGCAGGTTCAAAATGACATTCAGAAGGGAAATATGCAGGGGACGAGGAAAAGATCAAATCCAACGGTCAAAGTTATATAAATTCAGATGAAACTGGAAAATAATGAGGAGAGCCAATAACGAATATATAAATCCAACAAAATTCAACTCTTCAGATTGAACCAAGAAAAAAGACACAAATTTCATGAGACAACATTATGACAGAAAAATACAATCATTGTATTGACATATAATCATAGGTTTCATAGGCTTTTGGAATCTGTAACACAGCCATGGATATGCCTGATCCATAAACACAACTATGTAAACATGTGACCCTTCCAAATGTCAGACAAGGTTGATCCATAATTACATGAGTATTGACTTTTGATAGCTTGCTGTAATTTCTATAGGGAATTCATTTAGTTATTTGAAGTGGTTTTAGGTCACTATAATTAAATTAGAGTCAATAATAGTACAACAGCAACAACAACAAGCCTTTATCCCACTAGGTGAGGTCGGCTACATGGATTGCAAGACGCCATTGTGCTCTATCATTTATCAAGCTTTTAGGAATATTATTAATTAAGAGATCGTGTTCAACAACTTCTAAAAGTGTTCTCTTAGGCCTTCCTCTACCTCTCTTAATCGGACTCAAAGTTATATGTTCCACTCTTCTCACTGATGCCTCTCTTGGTCTTCTTTGTACATGCCCAAACCATCTCAACCGATTTTCTACCATTTTTTCCTCAATAGGTGCTACCCTCACTTTTTCGCGTATGTGCTCATTTCGAATTTTATCTTTACGTGTATGTCCGCACATCTATCGTAACGTTCTCATCTCTGCTACTCCAACTTTATGCTCTTGTTGTCCCGTTAGAGCCCAACATTCACTACTATATAACATTGCCGGTTTGATAGCAGTGCGATAAAACTTTCCTTTAAGTTTATTAGGCACCTTACGGTCGCAAATAACTCCTTTAGCTTTTCTCCAATTAAACCACCCAACTTGAATCCTATATGAAATATCTCCACTGATTTCGCCATCATTTTGAATAATGGCTCCCAAATATCTAAACTTTTCCACTTGAGGTATAATTTGATCTCCCAATTTCACTGCTAAATTATTGTCAAATAGTCTCTTACCAAATTTACAATATAAATATTCCGTCTTACTCCTACTCAGACGGAAACCTTTCGACTCCAATGTCCTCCTTCATAACTCAAGTTTGCAATTAACCTCTTCTCTTGTCTCTGCTATAAGAACTATATCATCCGCAAAGAGCATACATTTGGGAATTTCTCCTTGAATATGTTTCGTCAAAACATGTAGGATCAAGTTGAACAGATAAGGACTCAGAGATGATCCCTGATGAAGTCCAATCTTTATAGGAAAATCCTTTGTTTGACCACTAGGCGTTCTTATACTAGTTTTTACCCCTTCATACATATCTTGTATGGCTTTAATATAAGCAATTCGTACTCCCTTTTTTTCCAACGCTTTCCAAAGCACTTCTCTTGATATACGGTCATAAGCTTTTTCCAAATCAATAAAAATCATGTGTAAATCTTTATTTTTACAACGATACTTTTTCATTAATCCCCTTAATAGATAAATCGCTTCTGTAGTTGATCTACCTGGCATAAAACCAAAATGATTCTCAGAAATACTTGTCTCCAATCTCAACCTGTGCTCAATTACTTTCTCCCACAATTTCATGGTGTGGCTCATGAGTTTAATCCCTCTATAGTTAGTACAATTCTAAATATCCCATTTATTTTTATAAATAAGAATTAATGTACTTCTCCTCCACTCATTAGGCATTTTCTTGGACCATAAAATCACATTAAATAACTTAGTTAACCATCTCACCCCTTCTTCACCTAAATATTTCCACACTTCGATAGATATACAATCAGATCCGTTGGCTCTACCATTTGCCATTTTCTTAAGAGCTTCCCTTACTTCTTTATCACGTATTATTCGATAGAATGACAAATTTTGTTCTCCTTCACCAGTTACTAAATCCTCCAAATTATTAGATGAACCCTCTCCATTATTGAAAAGTTTGAAAAAATAAGTCTCCCATCTATTTTTAATTTTATCATCTGTAACTAAAATTCTTCCCTCTTCATCCTTAATACACCTTACCTGTTCTAGATCTCTTGATTTTCTTTCCCTGCTCTTAGCAATCTTATAAATGTTTCGTTCTCCTTCCTTTGTCTCAAGGCTCTAATAAAATTCTTCAAAAGCTTTAGAACAAGCTTCACCCACAGCTCTCTTAGTTTTCTTCTTAGCCATACGGTACCTCTCCAAATTTTCCTCATTGTTACACAAATGTATGGCTTTAAAACAGTTCTTCTTATACTTGATTTTGTCCTATACACTATTATTCCACCACCAAGTCTCCTTATCTCTCGGACCAGAACCTTTTGATTCTCCCAAAACTACTTTTGCAACCTCCCGTATCTTTTTAGCCATATCCTCCCACATGATGTTAGCACTTCCTTGAGATTCCCAAATTCTTTTGTCCAAAAGATTTCGCTTGAAAATATCTTGCTTCTCACCTTTTAATTGCCACCACCTAATCCTTGGTGCTACTACTTGTCGACGTTTTTTAATTTTACTCATAACACACACATCAAGGACTAGGACCCTATGTTGTGTCGTTACAGCATCTCCAGGAATCACCTTATAATTTTTACAAAGTCTTCTATCTGTGTTCCTAACCAAAAGAAAATCAATTTGTGACTTTGAGGCTCCACTTTTGTAAGTGATGAGATACTCATCTCTCTTCTTGAAACAAGTGCTGGCAATCTTAAAATCAGACACCAATGAAAAATCAAGAAGAGTTTGTCCTTCATTATTCGCTCTCCAAAACCAAAACCACCATGCACCCTCGCATACTGACTAGCCTCCCTCCTGACATGCCCATTAAAGTCTCCTCCAATAAAAATCTTTTCACTCTGTGGTATATGTCGAATCAACCACTCCAGATCCTCCCAAAATAATTCCTTAAGACTAGCTTCTGTCCCGACTTGCGGCGCATAAGCGCTAACAATATTAACAGTCTCACGTCCAATTATCATTTTTAAGGAAATAATTCTGTACAACAGTCAATAATAGTACAAGGATAGGATAATCCTATAAGCATTGTTCCGAGTAAATCAAATTTTGTCAATCCTATACAAGGCTTCCTTACATGTAAAAATGCAATGCAACTAATTTTTTTCAAATATGAATCATATATTCAGAATGGGTTTCTCCATTGGATTCTAGAGTTATCTATCTGTTGCATTCTAGGTAACATCCTACATCAATGCCTAGCCTCAATAGTGCATTTCTTTCCTTGTCCTGCATCACTTCCTAATAACTCATCCCCATTATTTTTGGGCTAAAAATAAGTTAACAGACATTTCCTTGACCCCTTCCTTTTCTTTATGTGCGCAAGCTGATGATATAATTAACTAAGCTACTTTGTAGCATTAGCATATCTATGAATGCCCATAACTTGTATGCATCAATTTTAAACTATAACAATGACAATAGGATGAAACAATTTCTATCTTGTAATGGTATAACTGCAGAACACCAATGTAACATCCTTCAAAATTATGGGCAAGTATCATCAACTATAAGATACGGTAGTAAAATCAATCAGACCTTGCGATCATGTTCTTCAGCAAAATACTCCCGATTAACATCACTCTTTGGAATAACATCATGGGAACTAATGCTAAGAGCAGTGTCCCGGACTTGAACTGGCAATCCATACTCAAGATCTAGAAGACAGACTTGACAAACGTTTTTCAATTTACTACACGTTTGGCAGATCTCAGTTTTCTTATATCTTGCATCTCGACCAGGTCTCCATCTAAAAACAGTGAATGGCCGTGTACAAATCTTGCACTCCTTATCATAGTCAGCTCTGGTCTGCATCCATATATACCCATAAATTAAACAATCAAAGAAGTCAGATAAGAAATCAAATTTATTGGAGAAAGTTGAAAGTTGATAATCACTCTGCACAGGGCAAGCTTAATTTTCGCGAACAAAAATTGGATTCAAACACACATTACAAACTGTAGGTATTGGAATATTTATTCTTCATAGCCGTTACTTGGTAATATAGTTAGGTCTCCAATTAAGCACAGTGGATAAACCAATATGCGATTTCTGACCGACCTGTTGAGGGGTACAAGAGCTTTAAACTAGAGACTAGCGCCTACTCACCAGTTTACAATCTCAGAAACCTAAGATATATAATTCTTAGGGAGAGCCATATTTCAAAAGCTAACTTATGATGTAGGAAAGCCCAATATTTTCAGAAGCCCCCATTTTAAAATCCCATGAATATCCTAAATTCTAGTTTCTCAGCATAGGAGAGCAGACAGCGGAATCAGAAAGAACTTCTAGTATTGTTTATAAGCATTGAAAGGGGTTAAACCGAAGAGGGGAAGAGAAAATACATACCATACGAACATATGGGTTGTCACCCAGGCATGATTCACAGATAATAGGAAAGTCAGATCGCTCCCAGCCATCTGCTTCATGGTCCCTCAGCAACCTATGCGCCATGCTCAAATCTGAACTTGTTCAAAGATCCCTTCTTCCTTGGTTCTTTACCTACTTTGATTCAACAAGCCTCTCGGCGAACCTCGAAGAGGTTGAAAGGGGTAGCTCCAGCCCAAGGAAGGGACAACCGATTATTGTCCCGAAATCCCTTCGCTGTCCCTGGAGAGCGGAAGCGGACAGGGAACGGGTCGGATCTGGATTCTCGTATAATTATAAACTCGAACCCCGCTTGTTATTTATTTCTTACAAGATGCCCGTTTTCTATAATTAATTAATTATAAGTGTTTGGGTGTAATTTTATCCTTAAATTATTCTTAGAGGGATAATATTGCCCCTAAACTTTTCATTATAGCAATTTTATCCCTAAACTAATTAAATCAAAGTAATGTTATCACTATCGTTAAAACGTTTGTTACTATAGTTTGTAGGATCCATTTTTTATGAGTTAAGATGCAATTTTACCTTTAAATTATTATCAGAAGAGCAATGTTGCCCTCAGTCTAAAAATCATATAATTAAAAAAATAAAATTATAATAATATTAAATAAAATAATATAAAATGTATATATATAAATAAAATTATTATAATAAAAATAAAATTATAATAAATAATTTTTTATATTTATTTTATATATACATTTAATATTATTATAAAATAAAAATATTATTATAATTTTATTTTTATATATACATTTAATATTATTTTATTTAATATTGTTATAATTTTATTTTTTAATTTTATGATTTTTAAACTATGAGGATAACATTGACCTCTGATAATAGTTTAAAAGCAAAATTATACCTTAACTCATAAAAAGTAAGTCTCACTAATTACAGTAATATATGTTTTAACGACAGGGATAATATTGCTTCAATTTGATTAATTTAGGAATAATATTGCTACGATAAATAATTTTGGGTAACATTATTCCTTCGAGAATAATTTAAAAGTAAAATTACATCTTAACTCTAATTATAATTATGGCCTCTTCCTATCAAAGATTACCAGTCAACTTCGGTATCTAGCAGACACAGATTCAAGCTCTAGTTCGAAAAGTGATGGGCTAATCAATCCATCAAATGTTTGTTATATTTACGAATTAATTAAGTCTTTTAAAGTTAGGATTAGTGAATTTATATAAAGTTCTAAAAAAACACAGAGAGAAAATTTTATATTTTATAAAAAATAATGAAGTGAAAAATACTTAAAAAAATTTATTTAAATCTAACAATTATAATTCTAACTTTAGAAGATTTTAAATCTTATATTGACTGTATTATACATAACTTCTTAAAAAATGCAAAAGTGTTCATTTTTTTGCAACTAATTTTATTTTATTTATATTTTAAAAATAATTATACAATATAAAAGATATACTTTTATTGTGGGAAATCAGAGTGAGGGATGGAAATCACGATCTCTAATAGTCTGATTTATTAACAAAGTAACAAAGGATGCATAGTATTAGGGCTAAAACTGAAACGTCATTTATAGGGGTTATAACATAAAATGAGCTGAGCAACTGAAAAGTCAAACTTAATAAGAGATCTAACAATAGAGCCAGTCCAAAGTATAATAAGATAGCCTAATCCAAATAAGTATGAGTCTTTGAATTTTTTAAGTCTCAGAGCCACACTGTTTAGAATGTTGCAATATACAAAACCGTAACCTCAATGGGCCTTGAATCTCGCAAAGACATAATTATTATCCACAAGCATCTCAGAGACATAAGCTAGTAATTAATAATGGAATGTGTTACAAGTAGATCGTGCCATAAATCTCACAAATTGTGCATCTTGAATCTCAAATATTTTGCAAACAAAATCTAAATTCCATGGGAGTAACTGCCTCAACTGGACCATTATAAAAGAAGGAAGAAGCTCACAGAGAAAAGCTATAACATCCCAATTTAAATTTTAATAGTTAATTTGAGTTAATAGAAATTTAAAAAAATATTTAGAGGTAAGCAAATTAAAAGGAGATGATTGTTAAATCTAATCAGGATATAATTCTAAATTAAAATTTAAAAAAATAATAATTAATTAATTAATTAAAAAAATATTAAATTATTATTATTATTATTTAAAAAAAGAAAATGTATAAAGAAAGAAAGAAGGAGAAGGAGAAGAAGAAATCGTGCTTTCGGTGCTCTCCCACGGCAATCATGACACATATATATATAATAATAATAATAAAAAAGAGAGAGGAAAGAGGAAACAAAAAAAAATATGTGGGACCCGCAGTATTTTTTTTATAAAACCACCCTCCTTCCTTCATTTCTTCATTTCATCCCTGTACGCGAGCTAAGGCAGAGAGCGAGCGAGAGAGCGAGCGACATTGATGGAGAGGCTGATTGATTTAAAAGGTGAAGCTCCATAGTAGAATACTTCATATGAGATTTTAAGTATTCTAAGACTAGGTAAGTGTTCTAAACATTTTTCTTAGTCATATTTTCTCTTTGATTTCTGATTTTGTGGAAGTAAAAAATTTAGAATTTAGAAGAGGGATGAATTTATGTTGAATAAATATGGTTTTGAGGTTGTTAGTAGTGTAATAAATATTCTAGAGTATTTTTTGATTGATAGAATTGGAATTTGAGGCATTTGAATTTATCTCTAAATTCCTATGGGTAGATTTTTGGTTAAATCTGAAAATATAAATTGATTTATTGATATTTAGATGATTATTTGAGATGAGAAATAAATTATTATGTCTATAGAATAATAATTCTAGGCTTGAAATCAAGTTTGCAATTTTTGGGTATTTTTATGTACGAATTTTTGGAATAAAAAGAGAAATTTTGATATTAGAAAAAAATATTTGAATGAAATTATTGTGAAGGAGACTATTGAACTAAGTAGATAAGTTCAAATACATAAAATTAAATTTTAGAATTCAAGAGACTAAGACTAATTTCTTAAATAAATAAATAAATAAATATAAAATAAAATAAAATAAATACGTAGGTGTTAGAGTATGAGTGAAAATTGTGTTAATAATATTATTGACACATTGGGATATGATCAATTGTAGATTAATTTTCTTTTGACACCATTCAAGCTTTGGACAGCTTTGGAAGTGTTGTAACTTGAGGGGTAACCTTTGACCTCTCAAAGGTTGAGGTAACCGGGGAAATCTATTTTAGGCATTTGTATATTAATTAATTAATTATGTTGGTGAAACAAAAGAATATATACATATATATATATATATCTAAATTTAAAATAGTTGTTTGTAATGCATGTGGCTTTATTGAGACCTTATGATTTGTGACCAAGTTAATTGTGACTTGGTATAAGTAATGAGATTGATGTTGATGATGATGTGTACAATCTTGACTATAAATTATGAATTATATATATGAGTTTTTAAAATGCATTTTTTTTATTAGTATGATCATATGGCGAGAGTTCGCCTTAGTGAAAGAGTTAGCGATTACACAAAATTCATATGGTACTTGGCTATTAACCAATAATCCTAGGGGTTATAGCCGCTACTTACCTTATAAGGTACTGTAGCATTGTTCCTATTAAGGGACTTGACCCTACTGGCCTACCTGGAGTTTTGGGTAGAGCTAGTTTTGGGTATGACACCCCATAGTGTGTGATTTGGGGGAAACCGTGTTCATAAGTGAGTAAGGTAACCCTGGTCCGGTAGCCCCTCATAATATGATTAAGGCGTTGTGTAGTCTCACCACATGGATGATCCCTTCCGGTTGTTGGCCTATGAATTTCATGTCAGAGGAAATAAGGGGGGATATAAGGAAGAGATTGATCATGCATATTATTATTATCATGCTATTTGAGTGATTGATGGCTATGTTGAGAATATGATTATAATTGTAGAAATGAGAACATGTAGTAATTATGCGAATAATGTATATGTGGCTATTTGTGCAAATTTTATACTTGACTTTATTCTTGAAATTATTCATATGAGTTAAATGTTAATGTGATTAACATATTATTAATGTGATTGTTTGAATGGTCACCTTGATAAATTTATTGGTCACTTGCATTCATGATTAATTATCATGCATTTGTATAACTTAGATATATCTTGGTTACTGAATGGTTGTACTCACCCCTCTCTTTTAACATATTACAGGAGCTAGCTCGTTTGAGAAGAACAGAGGAAAGGAGCATTAGGCCAAGTAATAATAATCACTTCTGTAGGCCTCTCTCCTTTTATTTGATATGTGTATTTAGTTTATGATATTGCCATCTAAGATAATATATTCTTGATCCACTTGCATTATGGGTTTTGTATTGGGAAAAATGTATTTTGGGCCCTGGGGAATGTGGTTTGATACTTGTGCTATAATTACGGGCCAAAATATTTGTGCAGGTAAAAATAATTATTATCATGCTTCCGCATATGTTTAATTAAATGATATGAGTTCTTAAAATATTTTAAAGACTTGGGATCTCTTTGTATTAAATAGTTTGTAAAAAAAAAATACATGTTAAGAATTTATTTAGGTTAATCTCGTATTGAATAATCCATTTGGGTTAGTTCTTGATTAACCATAATTAGTGTGATGATTAAGTCCTAATTTAGGACGCTCTTTACAAAAGAACCACAAACAAGAATACATTTCCAGACATTGAAATACTTCACACTTGTAGCTCTTAGATTTATCATATAACTTTAATCTCATTTTTAGCCTTATAATCTTTACCATTGTGTAATTTGCCTTTAACATTAATCAAACACTTGTTATTTTAACTCTTATATATTTTTTATATCTGAGTAAATTGTAGTAAAAAAATCGAGAAACCTGTATTATTTCATTTGAAACTCAACGTCTCTAACATGCTTAATGATTTTGTTGTTCACGATGAACACATAGTAAGATATTTCTTTAAAAAAATTAGCATAGCATTAACCAATTAGATTTATGAAAAAACTAGTTAGAGAAAATTTTTATCCAAACTGGTTTTTATAAAATTATGAAAGTAGTTTCATGATTTTAATTTATATATTAATTTTGTTTTTGTTTTCAATATTTCTTGATGTAATGCAGGCAAGGCGTTCTAGAGATATTAAGGATCTCACCTATTAATACATTTGAGTTTTTTTGCTATAGTTTCACCAAGCTATAAAGAAAAAAAATACAATTAAAAATTGGTAAATTATTGAATTGGAAAGAAACAAGCGTTAATAAAAAGGTGAGTACTTTGAAATTAAA